AATTATTCAATGCCAGGTGACTTGGACTTGAGTTAAATTGACTGACTGAATGCATGCTCACATTTTTATTTTTTGTCACACAAATCAAGCCTTTGACTTGGCAAAGTTTGGGCAAAGAACCTGTGTGCTTCTCTAAATGTACACTTTGTGGACTATCTTTGTAATGTCAGGCCAGAAGAGGCCCTGAAACATGCAGGTAAGAGCCCCATGGAGACAGCTGGGAAAGGATTTTGGAATAGTTTTAACCTTGTGCCTGTACTGTTTCCCTTTCCTGTCCATATTAGTATCCACAGAACAACTCTTTGCTCTTACTTGCAGGGTTTTTTTTTTGCTCTACATCAAAAACTCTGCAAATATCCATGATGCTGTTTCCTTATTTCTTGGGCTTTTGAAGACAATATGGATTTCCATGACTTGTGCTAAGTGCAATGACTACTTCTTGTGCTTTTATCAATGTTAAATGTATCCTTTGCTCCTCTTTCTGAAACGATGACATCTGGCATCAGCAACTCTACACATCATTAGCTGAGGAGCTCGGTGTTTAAGAACCTGGAATAAGAGCAAACCTCTGAAATCAGGATGCGCATTAGCTGTTAGCATTTGCTCACTCTTAATTACCTCTTCCCCTTATTTGTCTCTCTTTAATAGTATGCCAACAACATTTTCTAACCTCTTACTCAGTGACTGATTTGTCAAGACTATAGGTATCACTTATTCTAGCATTTACATGTTTAGCCATGGGGTGTCAAACTGCACTAGTAATTACAAAACTGTGGATCTGGACTAATTGCATGAAAGAGCTTCAGGTTTAAATTGACAGATTTGTTTTGCTGACTGCCATTCATGTACCAAGCCAGGTACTTGTGCCAATCTGCCTAAAGTTGAAGCTTGTGTCCAGGGATGCTGCCTGCCCTTCATGGGGAATCCTGTGCAGAGCTGTGCTGCCTTAGGCATGCTGGAATCTCAGCAGCCCCGCAGGAATGCAGAAGCAGAGGGGGAGGGGAGTATCCTTGCTAATCCCTCTGGTCACTGGGGTTGCACAGAGGACTTGTGCTTCGCCAGGACAGTGTGGATGACCGTTTTCATCAAGGCACGTTATAAAAGCAGAGGCTGGGGAAGGCCACACTTGGTGTACCTGAAGGAGTAAGGAAAGAAACATGTCCATAAAGCAGCTGCTGACTGCAAAGGTTTGCATTTTTCCTGAGAAATGATCAGTCGGGGAAGAGTTAAACTGACACCTTCTCTGGCATCTACCTGCATTTGCAAATAAATCAGCCATAAGAACAACTTAGACAGCCTCCTCCTACATGGCTTCTCCACTAAAAGACGTGGGAGAACGCAGTGTCGCTGCGTGTTTTGCTGCAACCCTGTCGGTATTTCAGGTATTGTGCGGAATTTCACCGGGTCCTGTGCAGATTATGGTGCTTTCAGTACAATGTTAGACTGATTCTGAGAACCTACACTGACATATCACAAGCTGCTCTGCTGGAGATGGCTTGAACTCCATGTTCAAGTCCACATTTGTGGCTTGGTGCTGCTTGGTGCTGCAGGTTAGACAGTGTTTCAAACAGGCCACAGTGGAGCAGCACCTGCTGCAGAAAATGTGAAGGATAATGTACGTAGCAATGCTGTCTTCCCTGTCATTCTCAACAGAGTATCAGCTGGAAGAGGATTCCACTGATTTGCTTCTCTTCCTTTTGGGACAGCATTGATTTTGAAAAATTTTGCCATGTAAGGTCTTTATAATTAATTTTTTATATCAATTCTGGATGTGACTCTTCCTCATGCGGAACTTGGAAATTAAACTTGCAGCATTTTTAGGTTGAGCAGTAAAAGGAAGCTGCTGATAAATCTGAATACATATGTGCCTCAGGAAAAGGGGCTTGGTTGGGAGGCGACAGGTATAACCTAGCAGCACACAGGAGAGAATCAACACTTTTTTGTGCCACATATCTTGACTTATTCCATGATTATGCCCCTTAACATTTAAGACTCCTTCCAACCAGCTTGCTACCAGCCAACCTATCCATGTATGGACTGCAGACACTGCAGCAATAAGCACTACACAGTCAAAAACATTTGAAATAGCAAAGCCAAACAACTTCATAGAACTAAACCAAAATGTCGATCTCAGCAGTACAGGACTGTTCTTTACAGGCAAGTCTTTACTGTTAACAAACCCAAACAGCGATATCTAAAAGTAATTGCTTGACATCTAGAGATCTGCTCCTACTGTAAGACCACAAGATCAAATACTGCTCTGAAGGTTATTGGTATCCAACAAAACAATTGTAAGGATTGTTATTGGTATCAAACCAAAACAACTGTAAGCATTTTGGAGAGCCACATCTCAAGGAAATAAATCACTCCTGCTGTTCTGAATGTGTCAGGTCACTGTGCCTGCAATGGGGAGTTGCTCTGTTCACACACACAGCTCCAGCACAACAGGCTGGAGCATCCAGCACTGGGGCTGCTGCATACACGCCATGTATTTGCAATTGTAGAGCAGCCAGCTGCTGGATGCCAGGCATTTGGAAAAGCACTTGATAGCTGTGGCAATACACAGTTGTCTCCCTGAGCTTTTCTTACAGGACAGAGGATCAGATTGCATAATGCATAAAAAATCCCATATTATAAAGGATATCTGGCAATGACAATGTTGCCTCAAAGACCCTGGCTATCCTGTTGGAATGAGAACCAAAAATCTGGACCATGTAGGATCATATCTTGAGTTAAATTGTATCTGTTAGACAGATGCTAACCCAGGTCCTCTGGGAAAGAAAGTAGGGATGTAACAGAGAACAGAATTTGTCTTTCAAGAGTTTGGAAAGCCAAATTCTACACAATGCAGAGTGTTTACTGTCTGCTGCTGACTCTGCCAGCAAAGGACAAGCTGTTTATCCTATTGCCGCTCTGTTTCCCATGTATACACTAGAGATTATCCACTTACCACTGCTGAAACACACTTGGAAGTTGTAAATTGGAAACTTCTGGATGACAGGTCTGTAACTGTGATTTTGACTGTAGCAGCCCATGCAAACCTGGATTAAACTTTGTGGCAGGTGCAGTTGAAATACAGGATGCAAAACCAGAGCATGTCCTGAAGAGTGTGCAAAGCATAGTTCTAGTCTGCACGTGGTACAGAAGCTAGAGAGGGAATACTGAAGTATTTCTTAATAATTTATTGAAGTATTAAATTACTGGGCATATTAATTTCTATGTTGAACATATCAGGTCAGGGTCTGACGTTTTTGCAAGTCCTATTTTCTGGTTCAGGAGTGGGTTTATTGCTGAGTTTCAACATGAGTTGGGAAAATGATAGTGTTTTTCTATCTCTTTGAAAAAAGAATGGTTTCTGTGAAGCAACTTGAGCTGGAGTCAGTGCATCAAATCCTTAATGTTCCTTCACTGCTCTTCTCTGAAACTCATGGTGTGTCTGGATGTGACATACATAAGTTTAGATGGCAGTCTCAGTGCTTCTGGGGTACCTGGGAGTCTGAGTCTGGATCTGTGTTACTCCAAAATTTTTCCTTTACGCAGCAGAAACGAAGCGTAGAGGCAATTCCACCCATCAGCAGGAGGAAAGTTTCGCTAAAAAGGAGGGCAGGGACTGCTTCAGAGAAGCAACCTCTCCTTATCAAAATCCTTCCCCCTTCCCAAGAAGGAAGGCTTTTAAACCTCTGCACTGCAAATCCAGACTGCCAGGAGCTCCTGTCCTGCCACTGCTGCGCTGTTACTGTGGGCACGACCAAGAAACCTTTGCATCTTTAAAGCACTGATGCCTAATTTGTAGGGCTCTTCCTTGAGAGATCTGTCCAGATCTGGCAACCTTGCCAACATGACGCCTTGGAGTTAAACAGGACAAGGTGGTGCTACTTACACATTGCCTGGTCCCTGATTGTCCAGATTTAGGCTGTCTGGGGAGGAGGGCATGTGAACAGTGTTCCTGCCTGTGCCTTTGCCAGCTGTCCCTGCCTTGCCAGTGGTCAGTTCCCATGAAGCCGAACAGCTTGGGTTTGAGTTTAGAGAGGAGGAAATTGTGCTGCAGCTGTCCAGAAGACAGCGTTTCAAAATCCAGGCCTTCAAAAGTCTGGCTCAGAAACTCTCCCAATTTGGGGGCTGTAGTTATTAATTCTGTTATTTTGAATTTTTAGTCTGCCCTCCTGTCACGCTCAGGAACACTCTCCAAAGTCAGAGTGTGCTTTAAAAAAAACAAAATCATAGCTGCTATTATTATTATATTAAACATAACTGGAGATTCCCATATGCTGCCGTGCCTCCGGGAGGTGGCCCCGAAGGGGAACGCGGTACCCGGGCAGGAATAGCAGCGACAGAGGCGCTCCGAGGATGGGAAGGAGCCGCGAGGTCACTCATTGCTCGAGGCGGGGGGGACCCGCCGGCGGGGCAGTGCCCGGGGCGGGGGCAATGGGGCGGGGGAGGGTGCCCAGAGCCCCGGCGGGGCGCGGGATGGCGCGGCCGGGGCGCCCCAGCCCGGTGCGGAGCCGGGGGCGGCGGGACCGGCGGGGGGGCGCGGAGCCGGGCGCATGCGCTGCGGCGGCGGGGCGGCGGGGGCCGGGGCGGCGCGGGGGGCCGGAGGGAGGGAGGGAGCGGGCGGGGAGGAGGCTGGGCCGGGCCGGGCCGCCTATTTGAGGGAAAGTAGCGCTCGGCGGGTGCTCAGTGCCGGCCGCCGCGGAGAGGCAGCGGGCGAGCGGCCGCCGGTCGGTGCCCGCAGCCGGCGCGGCGCTGCCCCCCTGCCGAGGACTGCCGCGCTCGTCGCACGAGTGGCGGCGGGGGGAGCCGCCCCGCGGGGCCGCCTCTGCCCCTTCCCCGCCGCGCCGTTAATGGAAACATGGCGATGGCGGCTCCGACCGGCAGCGCGGCGCCCGTCGCCCCGGCCCTCTGCGGCCACCTGGCCCTGCTGCTGCTCCTCGCCGCCCCCGCCGCCCACGGCTACAGCTTCCCCCAGCAGCACACGTAAGTGCCGCCGCCCCGGCCGGTACCCCCGCCCCGCGGCTCGGCCCGGCGCGGTGGCGCATCGCGGGGCCGCCCCGGGGCCTGCGGGGGAGCGGCGGCGGCGGGGCCGCGGCGGGCGCTGCCGGCGCCGCGCTGGATGCGGGCGGGCGCGGGGGTCTCTGCCCGCTCCCCGGCGGAGCGGCGGGTTGAGGAACGGACCCAAAGTTGCTGGAAAGCACAAACTTCCCCGGCGGGTGCCGGTCCGCAGGGCGGCTGTCGGAGCCGTAATGTGGCGAGAGGGGGGAAAGACCGAAAAGGACTTATTTTCCAACACCCCCCCATCCTCGTTTCAAGCACACAATATGGTACCCATAACCGGCCGTGCACACCGGAGTTTGAGCATAAACTAATAATAGCTGGATAGTTCCACAGGCTATCCGAGCTGGCGGGTCTTCCTCTCCCTCCCTCTGGGGCGATTAAAATTGACTGTAATCTACTGAAAGAGAGTCGGAGAGCAGCTCGTTTGGGTGAGGGGGTGGGGGACTGGAGAGTCGCTGCAGGAAGGATATAAATAGATTTTTTTGAAGAAGAAGACATTGCTTTCGAAGTTAATGTTTGGGAATATTTTCTAACAGGGATGGCCCTCTTGCCTACCGTGGTAACCCTAAACCTGTCCCTCTCCACACATCCACGGGAAACCTTGCTGAGATGTGTTTTAAGAGGCTGTCATCTCCGTTATGATTTGCTGAGGTTTGTTGACACAAAACTGAAAAAAATCCAGACAATTCAAAGTAAAGGTTGACACCGTGTCCTTACAGTCTGCATTTTTGAAGGTGGGGGAAAGATTTCAATGACATAGAGTTAATAATAGCAGTGTTGCCCTTAACTTCGTGCTGCCCCAGTGGATGTGCACTGCTTTATGTCACAGTTGTCTTGTCATTTGTGATTTGCTTAAGAATAGAAATACATTTCATACATATATGCCATAGGAAGTAATTTTGAAAGCCTTTTAGATTAGTGTCTTTGATCTCAAAGTACGTTTTTGTAAGCATGTAGTTAGGCCTTCTGAAAAGAAAGCTTATCGGCAGAAGAAACAGCGTTGTTTATTTGGGAGAGCTGTAGCTTACTGTGTTAATATCTGCCTTCACCAAAGGCATGGTTGCTTATGCCGAAATCCTTCCCATTCCGACAGATTCCTTCTGGATTCTTTTGGGGCACGTATTCATATTTTTAATTATCTTTGACCTTTGGGAGCTGATGGGTTCCCTTTTCTTGCTGTCATGTAAATACAGAAATTCTTCAGAATAAGACCCTGAGAAATGTCTACCTACAGGGGGAGGAGAGGAAAGGGAACGTGCCAGTTCTCCTCCAAGTACCACAGCCTTATGGCCTGATCCAGCCTTGCTCTGCCATGAACGATCTCTGCTTCCATGAGAATGCCTAAAGAAGCAAAGGGGATTCTGTACATGATGAATCACAGCTCAAGTTTGTGGGATGTTTTTGATATTTCTGCAGCCTTTCATGGATTGCAAGTTGTTGCATTTGCTTATTAAGTTCAGAACACAGTATCAATTTATAGAATAAATTTCTTTTGGGTACCAGTTTGTGAGTCAAAGTTGTGTTTTCTTTCTAGCAGCAGAAAGTTTTATAAGAAGGTTCTTCTACTGAGAGAGACATAAAAATGCTTGTGAGTTGTAAATAATGTGCTTGCATTCCCTCATCCTATGATCCATGTTATTCTAATAAACCATGCCAGCTTTTTAACCAAAGCAGTTTTATTCCAATTAATTTGGAGGGGTTGGTTTGCTAGAATAGATTTTGTTAGCTCTGTGCTTTCTTATCTGAGGCTTTATCAGAGTGGGCCTGATCCAGCACTGAGTGAGGCAAGATAAGTAAAAACTGAAGCTACTGGCAAAGATCCATAATTTCTTGCAAATATGGAGGAATTGTCCTGAAAAGGCCACTAATTCTGTGTGTGTGCCTCTGGTGGGAATTAATGCTGTCTGGCCGCATCTGGAGAAGAGACACAGAAGGGACTCAAGACTTCAACCTGACCTGATACCTTCTTCCTTGTTTGGTTCCCCTCATGACCTGTTCTGTGAACCCAGAGAAGAGAGGAGTGACGAATGGATATTTGATGATGATGCACAATTGCTGAGCAGTAGGTTAATGCTGTAACCTGTGGGCTGAAATGCCTGGTGAGCATTGCCCTGGGGCAGCTGTGATTATTTGTTTCTTGGGAAGGAAATACTTAATGGGAGTAAAGAGTGCAATGGTAACTGAACAATCCCCTGTAATTGACTGTTCCTCCCCAGTAGTTTCCTGTTTGCACCCTGCTTGATTTTAAACAGGCTGGATACAACAAATTTTTTGGGCAGATTTACCGGCGAGTTTGAGTTTAGCTGATGAGATGTGCTGCTGAATTCTTCCCATTACCAGCTAATTTTCTCCTACTTTGGACAATGCACCCTTGTGAATGATTCAGAGCATTGATTAGAAACATGTTTGTCTTTAGAGGTTTTCTCTGTAAATCACTGAAGTCATCTTTTACTACGGGACTCTCAAAAACGAGGCTGCTTTTTTAAGCAGCCCTGAACAGTTTTGTTCTGGCAAGCATCAGAGTGAACGATTAGGATATCTTGCCAAAGTGGGGGAAGAAAGAAAACAAAGAACATTTTTGGGGTTTTATTTTTGTTTACAATTGTATTAATTATTGTCACTGTGTTGATTCTTGGTTCTGTCCCTGATAAATCGTTGGTGTTCTACATTATCTCTCTCCTCCCGGGTAGCATGGTTTTAATCATCTTATGCTGAGCTAAGGAAAGCTCGGCTCAGCCAGTTGTCCAAAGGGGAATTTCTCATTGAGATTTAAAAAGCAAAATCCCAGATTGGAGCAAACCCATTGGGGCGGGCGTGTTAGGTGATGGCTACTGACTGACAAGGCTCCTTTTAGGAATAGTCACGTACAAGAATGTGCATCTATGTGGGCAACGGGATTAATGGCTGTGGAAAGGAAGGCTGTTGGTTGCAGTTAATTTTTCTTTTAAATAGTACACAGAGGGATTCCTGTGGCAGCATGGTAACAACCTCTGCTTGAATTTCTGAGCAGTTTGGTATGAGAAAATTGAAAGCCTGGTCAGTCAGGGAAGTCCTGTACCTGGATTGCCATTGCCTCATGTTAGTGGAGATCATGCACGAGTGCTGGGGAATGTGACTGCCACTGGGGAGCAGAACAAACCCCCTCCTCACTTTCCAGCAATGCTCTTTGTCACTTGGACTTGAAAGAAAATTGCCATCTGCTAGAGGGTGGAGAGCCATTTGCTTCTTGTGAGGAAGCAGGTGTGTGCAGAATTGCTGCGTGTCTGCTTGGCTTCATCACTGCTGTGCAGGGCATCTCTGACCAGGCAGCAGAGGAGAAAGGTATGTCTGCAAGGGGAAGTGCCAGTGTGGTGTCCAGGGTCCAGTCCTGCTTTTCCAACAGGTTTAGCACTTGTCAGATGTAGACAGTTGTTTAAGGCAGCAAACTGGGGTACTACCCCAGTTCCTGTCAGATAGTGAGCAGTGAAGACTCCTGCTCAGAGCAGCAAGGCTTAGTATCTTCCTGTCGCCACTGGAATGTGGGCCTGAGGCTGCCTGTTTCAAATTAGTTGCTTCTTTGTAGCATTTTGATTTGTACTTGTCATTTCACCCCAAATGAGGTTAATGATGCTGGTAGTGGTAGCACATCTGGGCTAGCAGGGCTCGAAATAAATAACTCTATTAGGACTGGATCATTTATAGTTTGCAGAATGCCATGTAGAGGAAGCTCCTTCTCTTGTTCTACTGACCACCTGCTGTACAGTCAGAAAATCTCTTCCAATTATGGTTTTGATGCTTGGCATTGGAACTTGTCTGGAAAGGAGTAGAAAAGCTGGGAGATGGCCCTGCTTGTCTTCTGCTGTGCTCCACTAAGCAGAGAGACAGCTCCCTGGGAGGGCAATCTACCACCAAGAGTGACTGACAGATCCTGGCCCTCCATCCCTGTGAGGGCTGAGCAGCCTCTGTGACAATTTGTACTCAGTGGAAGCACAAATCCCCAGTGTCCCTGCAACAGCCCTGTGCAGGCTGTGCTTGGTGGCAGAAACCGCTTTTAGGGTGTGCAGAGGCACCCTGAACTTCCCAGAGGTAAAAGAAGAGCCTCACAAAGAGGAACAAATGTTTTTTAAAAGCCATTTGCAATATTTCTTGCTATTTAAAAACAAATTTCTCTATTCCTGTTACCATTTCTGAGTGCTTCCTTCTCACATAGAGAAAGAGCAGCGCATTGCTGCTTTCTTGCCTGTGACAACACCGTGACCTGCCTGCACTCATCCCCTTCAAGACTGTGGCTTCAGGAGTTTGAGTTTTTCAACTGTATACATTGAGAAATTGTTAATTGAAATTCTCTTGAGAAAGCGTGTGGGTTCCCACTGAAATCAATAAGGCTCCTGCACATAGACCTGAGGGTAGAAATGGGCTCCTGCTTGGTGTTTGACAGGCAGAGTTCAGCAGCTTTGTTGTAAAGAAGCTTTGTGTGTGTTTGTGCAACAGCCCCTGAAAAGCTGAAGGTGGTTCTGGAGGGTCTGAATGGAAACCTGGACGTTTATCCTTGAACGAGCTGCCTGGGGTTTGGCTTCAAAAGCCATCAGAACAGCTCTTGAGGGCTCGTGTGCTGGAGCATCTGCACGCTGCAACGTGGAACACATGCACACGCTGTACCAGTCAGACAATGCTTTTTCAGCCAATGAAATACTCAAGTGAGATGAAATAAAAGCAAAAGTCCAAAATTACCAAGCAACATACTTGAGTGAAATATTCAGTAAGAAAGGAGGGCATCTGAACGCTTCGATATTTACTTTTCTAGGAGCCTCTTGAAAGCAAAATGTGTTTTGTTAGCAAAATTATTTTTCCTTTCTGAGGTTTTGGTAGTAGTTTATTGTTTTAGAGCCGTTCCTGTAATCTAGCCTTCATCCTAGAGTTTATTATTGCTGGGTTGCATGGGGAATGGGGTTGTACAAATGGGGTTGTACAAATAGAGAGTCAATTTCTGTCAACAAGCTATTGGCATAGTTTTCTTTACGTTGAATTATTTGATCTTTTGCAGAATGCATGTAGATTTTCTTCATTACTTTGACAGTTTTCCTACTGCTCTTCCCCTTCTGTCTCAGCCATTATCTTTTGGTCATAAATACAATGAGAACTAAAAAGTGTTTATGTAGACCAAAGGATTCATTCTTCCTCTGTAAAAAAGATTGTTTCTCGAATTGACTGATGTGTGAGTGATGGGGATATTTAACCGGATGATCTTGTGAGGAGTGAAAGGGCTGCAGGGTGAGAGACACAAGGATCTGAAGGCAGTCAGGCCAGACAAAGGGTGCACGGTCTGTGGTTTCTGTATCTATTCATTAACTCATCACAAGGTCGTTATCCCTGCTGTGATTAGGCCACCGTGCCGCCTCTTGGGAAGCTGCTGCTCACGGGGCAGGAGGCTGTGAGACTGCCTTGCAGGAGAACCGGGATCAATTCTCCTCCCGCACGTCTGGTTGGGACTGAGAACTCCAGAGGAGATAATTGCTGACAGCAATCAGATTGGGTGCTAAATGCCATATAAGCCATCTAGGTCAATAATGATGGTAAAGCCTTGGGCACAGTTGTCAAAACAGCATTTGAGTTTGCCTATCTCTTTGTGCAGCGACACCACTGATTGTGCGTAGAGTTAAACGCAATAAATGCAGGATGCCACATGATTTTTAGTTCTGGTGTGTGTCAAAATCCCTGAAGTTCTTGCAGTGAAAAGGATTTCTATAATAAGAACGTCTCTTGTCTCCCTCGACCTTGTTCCTTCGTTCATTGTCCTTGAAGAGTGGGGATGGAGCTGTGCTTTCTGTGGACTAGGCTGGAGCTATGTCTGCCCCAGTGGGTTTCTGTTATGAGTCCCCTGAAGCTCTGGGTAGACTTTGGGTATCCTTGGCTTCTGCTGGTGTGAAAACTGTTCCACCCTTTCCCACAGTGACACTTGGGGAATTCCTGAATCAATATGGGTTGTGCCTGCAGTGAGTATCACTGTGATAGAAAACCCGGAGTGATGCAGTACAAAGGCACGTTCATCTACCTGACAAAGGTTGTCTATCTTGAATTATTTATGAGGTTTCACAGCACACTAGTAAATTTTGTAAAAGCAATGGAGTCCTGGTAATGTGAGCCTCTTCACTACAGCTTCCGTAGTGGAGTTGTTCTGAGGAGGTACAGGAGGTGGGGGATGGAGGAGGAGGAGGAAGAAATAGGCAGCAAGTGGAGGGATAGAGAGAGACTGCTGTTTTCATGTGCAAATGATGAGGTGTGCAGAGCAATGAATTTGTTAGATCACGCTGTGCATTGGAGCAAAAATCCCTGTAGTGTTAGAAAGCAGCCTATGCTTCAGGGAAGGGTGGGGAGTAGAAAGGATGGGGAGTACAGACACAGAGCAAGGTGAAAATCTCTTGACCAAAATACTGATTGCTTCCCATCTGTAGAAATGCTGTTTGCAGGGGTAGTTTGGTTAAAGTATGTACTCATTTTGGTGAGGCTTTCTAATCCGAGTTCCAGTAAAAGAAGACTCAAGCCAGAGCTGGTCAGGCTTTCCTGTGTGGCATTCAGCGACTGAGAGGCTTGGAAGTGTGCAGAGCAGTGGCTGTTGACCAGAGAGGTTTGCTGAGGATAACCTGGAACATGTGTGTCCACAGGAGCATTAAGTCAGTGTTGTCTAACACAGAGAGCGAGGGCAGGAAGAGTTGGAGTCCTGGCAGCTGTGCGTGGGCTTGCTTCAATCCCTGCTGCAGCACCATTTCAGTGCTAAAAGTTAGTGCTGCAGCACAGGTTCACAGTGTGGCTGCCACTGTGCACCTGATTTGTTGGTACACAGAGCCTGCCCTGTGCCTTTGGGCTTCTGAGCCTCTTGGCCTTGCAAGCACAAAGTTAGCCCTTAAACAGTCACATTGTTGGAAAGAATTGGGAAAGTATTGTATCCATCTCCACTGAAGGGACAAATGAGGATATGAGTCTCCTTATAAATACCAATACCTCTCAACTCATAACAGAGCTGAGTCCTGCAACTTTTGTCACAAGCTGCCAGTTTGCTGTCAGGCTCTGTTTCTTCTCCAGTGGGCACTTAATATTCTGCAGTCCAGAAGAATCCCATATCTAAAGTCTGAGTTCACATTCATTCTCCAAACGGGAAAGCAAAACAAGGGGCATATATCTAAATAATTTTCAGAGCTAACCTTGTATAAGCTACTTATCCTTCAGAAATATATAAAGCTCTCAGTGATGTAATTTCTGTTGAACCAGAGATATTCTTGTATTTGAATTCTCACATCTATTAATTTTCATGTAATATCTATTGTGGCTAATAAACACTTCCTGTACAGTATGAAACAGGGAGGATCATGAATGCAGTGCTTTGTTTGCACATCTAACGTATTTTACAGGCAGATTTTTGGCAGCTGTAATATGAACACCAAAATAGAGACAGACTTAAGCCAAGCAAAGCACCTAATGTTCAACTTTATCAGGTGTTGCAGATTGAGTCAGATTCTGGGCTGTGAGTGGTTGAACATCTTTTTATTGCTCCATAACAAACTCAGTAGACCCAGAAGGAGCCAAAGTGCCATTTCCTCATGTCTGAGGTAGTCTTGTAAATTAGAGATCTCTGGTAAGTGTTCACTGTGGTGTCACATTCTTGGGATCAGTGTGTGTGGGAAGTATTATGTGGGCTCTTGTACTTTCAGTACCTCTGCAGGGAAAGGGATGCCCCTTGCCCAGGTGAAAGTTAACTTTCTGCAGTAGTGTGTCGTGCACATCAGGGGAAAAAAAGGGTGGAAGTAAAAGCATTTAATTATTCAAGGCCAGCAAGCTGAAAAGGATTTCAGGACAGTGAACTAGGCATGCCTCAAAGCTTCGTGGGCACTCCTCTGCTTTCCCCTTCTCCCCTGCTTGCTCTGGAAAGGAGGGTATATTACATGAGTATGAAAAAAAAAAAAATCAACATTTTTCTCTTCATGCAGTTCGTATTTTTTATTTATTCTATTTTTGTTGGCTGGAAAGTCTTAATAATTGTTGATCAGTGACCAAGCTGATGGCACTATTTTGCCTCCTACAGAATAACAACATTTCAAAGAGCATAGAACAAAAGGGACCCTCCTCTGTGCGTAGGGATGCTCTCATGCCCCACCCTGGCTATGTGCTGTGGGCTTTCTGATTGAGCCATTCCTTATTATAGGCTTGTTACAATGCGGAAAAATTTGCTGTTGTCAAATCTTGCGTGCTGTACTCCGCTATGTAGGTTTAAAAGCTGAGAATTGTCAAGAAAATGTTCAAGATACTGGGACAAATTCATCCCTGATGTAATGACGTTTGTGGATTATGCCCAGGATAACTTTCAGGCCTTTGTGTTTTAACTTTTAAGTATGGTGGTGCTTGTGGTTGTGGTTGCTTCTAGTGGGATTTTTATGGTGAGGTGGAGAAAAGAAATGCAGCTAACACATCTACTGTGCTGATGCTTTGGTCTCAGTTTCTAAGTAACCCCATTTAGCACCTGCCTGCCTGTTTGACCCAGCAGCAGAAATATTGTGTTGGCATTTCTGACATCAATACCACCTTTTTGCCCATCATCTTAAGGCTAAATTGAACCCTTCTCTGTCCCTTGCTCCTTGCTATGTTTATTTGTTGTGGTCTAGTCTTTACTGTGGAGAAAAATCTAACCAGCTCTGTCTCACCTCAGCTGTCTGCTAGGTGCTTGGGGCTCTTTTTCATGTGAAATGCCTCCTTCCACAGGTGAATTTACACCCTCGCTTTCCCTCTGCTTCCCTGTGCTCCCTGCCCAGACATGAGGACAGAGCAGCTGGGTGTGAAAGGGCTCTGACAGCCACATTTTGACGTGAGGTCTCACTTCATCACTTCAGTGCTGTCACTGCTGAGCTTGCCTTTACCTTTTCCCCTCTTGCCCCTTGTCATGCCAGCCTCACTGGGGCCATGTTTCCTGGAGCAGGCAGAGTTACCAAGCCAGAGGTGAGGATGCATCCCAAGGCTGGTGCTCTGCATGGAGCACTGCGTGTGGCAACACTGCTGTGTGGGATCCTTCTTTTTCTGCCCTTCTCCTCTTGATGCCATTCCAAGTGAATCCTTGTGCTGAAAGCACTGCTGGTTTGTGCAGTTTATGAATGTGATTATGTGTGCTGAAAGCAGCCTTGCCTTTTTTATTCCATAAGGGCCTCTTAATAAATGTCACTTATTTGGGGACTCAGGCAGCTGAGTGCATGGCCAGTTACCTTTCTGTTTGGGAGTGGCTTACAGACCCCATCCTATTCTCTGGAGTCACAGCTGGCTGGTAGAAAAGCAGGCTGCAAGGAAAAAAATTACAGTGTTTTTATGGTAGCTGGCATAATATTTGACTTTCATTCTTAATTAAATCTACTTATTGCTGTGTTTGTACCATTGCTGTTGTTCTCAGATCTCACTGAATAACATGAGAGTTCTTGTAAGTGAAGTTGCTTTCAGAGAAAACCAAACAGTTGCAGAAAGGAAAGATGTAGTAAATGTGCCTGTCCTTCTTATGGAGGAATACCAGAATGATTGCAGTATGGTGAAATGGGACCTGCTTGGGCTGCAGGTGAGATGGTCCAGCTGCATCACCTGAAGCCTGTGTTGGGGCCACAAGTAATGTGTGCATCTATAGTTCCTCTATATAACAATCTATGTTAGATGAAGTATTCATGTGCAAGGCCTGGTGCTTCAGGGCTGGGTGGAATTGGGGGCCAGAGCCCTGTTTCATCCTGCAACTGCCAGCCTGCAGTCCTGAATTGCAGTTTGTTGAACTGCTCTGAAGTTTGTGATGTTCATTGCACAAAGTCCAGATCCCATGACCAAAGCGAGCGCTATTCCAAGTGTATTCTATTTTTTGTGTCTCATTTTCCACATGAAACTAACCTTGCTTCCTCATTTGGCTTGGTTACAGTATTTATTACAATGACATTCCTCCTAATTTTTTCCCTACTACTATGATATTGAGGTTTAATATTTATCTTCTAATAGTTTCTGAGTAGCAGAGTGCTTGCATTACTGGCAGTGATGTATAGTTAATCCTGAGCACAGATAGCTGTGAGAGGTCCAGACGGACTTCAGCCCTCAGTGGCACGATTGTGAGTGAGGAAATTAGCTTGGAAATTGCTGTTTGTTAAAATTGCTTCTGTGTTAATCTTGCTGTGATACCACAGCTTCTGGCAGTATGTGGGTTAGCAAGATGGTTGTGGCCGAGAATGAGGGCAGGTTCTCACTTTAAAAGAGGCTGAGCAAAGACCTTGTCTTACACCTTTGCTCTGAGGAGGTTTACAGTGAGGAATGTGGCCCATTTTTCAATTGTCAGGCCTATCTTCCAGGTGTTTTCTTATCCCCAGTTGACCTTCTGGCCTACTTTCTGTCCACTGTGTGTTGAAAGGTGACCAGCCTGTCATTCTTGGCGAGCATCAGGAGCAGAGCGTGTGTGCCTCAGGCTTGTTCCCTGGGGAGACAGGTAATTCTTTCATGATGCCTTGGGACTGTCTCCCCCTTCCCCCCCCAATCCCATCTCCATTGCACTGTGAGCATCTTGTCCTGCTCTCCATCTCCCACTCCTTGTTGTGAGCTTTTGCTACTGAAACAGAGGTTTCAGAGACTCCAGTAAGTCAGTGGTGGAGCAGAAAATGCAACCAGATCACAGAATTCCTCCTTCTCTGTTCCTTTAAATGAATCCATGCTCTTAGTCATCGGATAAATGTTCTGCTGTGTACTAACAAGACATCAGATTCAGATGCAAGAACAGAAAACAGGGGCAGGAGGATTTGGTCTCCAGGGAAAGTTTCTGTCCCTTTCTTTGGTGTTGGGAGGATGGGAACTGTCCTTGTGGATGAAAAGCTTCTCTGAAGGACACTTCTCTGGCAAATGCCTGAACATCAAAGCTTGGACAGTGCTGTTCTCTGTGCAGTTGGAGGGCAAGAGGCTTTGCTGCTGAGTGCTCAGCACTGGACTTCTCCAAATTAAATGGGTGTCTTCTGCTGCATAAGCCCTATGCTGGCTCTTTGTACCATGTAAATTATGGATAGGCACCTTTTCCAAGAAATGCTCTCTTTAAAATTGTATTTTTGTGCTGATGAGGCACTCATTTAGAATTGGATCTTATGCTTATTGCCTCCTTGTGGCAAGTGCTCACCAGTGGGACCAGTTACTGGGCAAGCTGTACCTCCTGACCATCACTTGGACATTTAACCCCTTGGACAGTACCTGCCATATCATCTGAACATTTCCTGTTCTCTATGTGTGTCTTGGAGAGAAATTCTGGAGGCCATTAAGCTGGGTAATTTACATGCTTCTTGAGCCTGTGCCTAGGGAAATATATTTCACAGGTAATTTCAAATCTCTTGGCGTGTGGAAGAAGTCATTATTCTGAACAGAAAGGGGCTGGTGATGTCACGGGCCCTGTTGAGAGGACCACATTAGAGACTGGGATTTTTCTCTTTTACAGGAAAGTGTCCAAGACGTTCTACTCATGGGGTGTTGGGATGTCAGGAGTTTTTGAGTTTAATGTTGATGCTCATGTAGAAAAGCAGAAAAGAGAATTATTGCATAATCCTCAATTCTAGTTACATGTGAGCATATTGGGTGTGAGGACTGGGAGCAAACCTGCTCTGGGCTACCCATAGGTGTGTGAGTTTCTTGCTTTGGTCTTCCAGTGCTGTCTTCCAGGGGCAGACATCAAAGTTAGCATCAGGAGGTTGATTTGCACTTTTGACTCTCCTCCCAAAGGTCTGTCTGGGTTTGAGACTACTGCTTCACCTTGGTAGCTCCATTCTCCCCTCCTGAAAAAGATGGAAAATATTATTGTTGGACATATTAGGAGGATTTGACAGTTTACTTTGATCTTCCTTTTATGGGGTCCTCCAGGACAGGAGGTGAATTCTTTTCAGTGTGGAAAGCTGGCTGTAGCTTGAGATGGGGGAACTGAGCCTGATAGATCAGCATCCTTTCCATGCACAGCAAATCCTGTAGCACCTTCTGAGTGTTCCCAGTGTGGTTCAGGTACCTCCATTTATACAAACTTGTATCCTTTTCAGAGGAACAGACTTGTATTACTTCTCAGAGTGATATATAGATGTTTCTTCTGTGTGGTGGGAGCAGTCGTTGTCCCAGTTGGACAGGGAGAAGGAGAGAGGAGGTGACCTGTGAAAGCTGGCAGCTTCATCCCTGTTGCTTTTATGCTCTGGGTGATGCAGCAGTACTGGGACAAAACTGAACTGGGCTTCATGCTTCCACTCTGTCTGCTTCAGAGCTTGTCTGGATGCCACCTTACAGAAGGAAAGGTCTTACAAACTGCTTTTAGATGTGTATCACAAAGTAGTGAGGTAATGGTATAAAATGCAGTAAACTGCTATTTTTTTTTTAATGCTCTCCACCTCCACCCCTTTTTTCTTTTATTCCTGTAAGGGACTAATA